AATGTCTAGTCCATTAACATTTGACTGATTCAGGCAAAAAACTCCATTATATGCATTAACAATGTCCAGTCCATTAACATTTGACAAATCCTAACAAAAAAATTCATTGCTTGGACTGGAGAGATGGCTCAGTGGTTAAGAGCTCTGACTGCTCTTCCAGAGGTCCTGAGTTCAATTCCCAGCAACCACATGGTGGCTCACAACCATCTGTAAAGAGATCAGATGCCCTCTTCTGGCCTGCAAGGACACATCCTGCAGACAGGATAATGTATACATAAATAAATATATTTTTAAATAAAATAAAAAAATTCATTGCTTATCCTCTTTAAAAGAATTAGTTCCTTTTAAAAAGTAGATTCAATAATCTCCTTTTTTATCTTATCATATACATATTCTTTTTTTTTCTTTTCTGAGTAGATCCAAAGATCTGCCTTTTATCTTATCATTTCTATATCTTCCCTTTTTTCAGAGTAGATTCAATGATCTACCCTTTTCTATATCTTCTTTTTTCTTTTTCTTTTTTTTTAAACAAAAACCCTGTATCTACTCTCCTTTGTTTAGCTTTTTTTTTTTTTTTGACTATTAACAATTAACAACTTGTAACCAGCCATTGTAAACAATGACAATATCCATAACTCATTAAACGACTAAAAGACACCAACCCCACCTCTTGGAATACAGCCATTGTGTTCTTAAAATTACTTCCTGCTTTCTGGGGGTGAAGACATCTTTAGGGAATTCCCTTTCCTAGGCGTACCTAAGCCTGCAGTTAATCAAGAGGATCAGTGAAATGGCCAAGCTGCTAAAGTTGATCTTACCTAAGCCTGCAGTTAATCAAGAGGATCAGTGAAATGGCCAAGCTGCTAAAGTTGATCTGAGCTTGATTCTTGGAACCAAGATGGTAGGAGAAAACTAACTCTTACCCATGTGCATCTACACACACACACACACACACACACACACACACACACACACACACAGGGAAAAACTACCAAAGATACAGAAGAGAGGAAGAGACCAACAACAAAAAATAGCCTTTGAAGCAGAACAGATTTTGTTCTGGTGATGGAATCTTGAGCTTCTCAGGTTACTGCCCATACCCATACATCACTAAGAATAATTTTTAGTGAACTAAAAATCAGGTTCTTAAATCTACAATGATATTTATTTTTTTATTTATTATGTTGTATGTTTGTATGTATTCATAGTGGTAAGTGGAAGAGAGGACAACTTGCAGGAGTTCTCTCCTTTCCCCATTTCACTATGTGAGTTCTGGGTGTAATGATAAATAAAAAAGAAAGGCGAAGTGGGCACCTTTTGGTGGGCCCTGCCAAGGTATGCCTAAGCAAACATACCACATGCAACAAGAGGTTTATTGGGTGAGAGGGAAAGCAAAAGTCCATGTTGGAGTGGGGACATGAGAGAGGCAAGAAAGACAAGAGCCAAGTGCAGTGGAAAGGCACCTGGCGACAGGTGATGACATAACTGCTTTGGCAGAGGGAGGCTGGAGATGGAACTCAAATTGTTAGGTTGTTGACAAGTGCCTTGACCTGCTAATTGGACCTTAAATGTAGGGCCCTGGCCCCCCATTTTGGGTAGCTGTTGCCTTGCTTGCTGACCTTGACCAGATGTCCTCCCTATGCTGATTCCCTGCTGGTTTCCTTCTTCCTGAATGCTCGCCAGAGGTTCTTTGTTTGTGTATCCTGCATAATTTGGAGGAGTGAGTTTCGAGAGCATTGTCAAACTACAGCTAATAGAAATGCTGCTGCAGGCTTCCTGGCTCGGAATCTTGTGATGCTCATGGGTACAGGGCAGTGTGCCACTTTACAAGCACAAATTTTGTATGATCCCACAGTTTATGCACAGATTAGCGTAGCCGCTACCAGAGCATGGAAAGGGCTGCCTAATAAAACTGCTGGCAAACAACTATCTAAAGTCATTCAAGGGCCATCAGAACCATTTGCAGAATTTGTAGATCGCCTGCTTCAAATAGCAGGTAGTAGAGTATTTGGGGATGTTGATCAAGCCATACCTATAGTAAAGCAATTGGTCTTTGAAAATGCCAATAAATATTGCAAAGAGGCCATTAGGCCTCATAAAAATAAGAGCTTAAATGATTATCTTAAATTATGTAGAGATATAGACGGACATCACATCATAGGACAGGTAATAACTTCAGCCATAAGGGGGAAATATTCTGGAGGAGTACAGTGTATGGAGCCCTGGATACACCTGTCCCAACCCCAGTTTCCCACCATCCCATCCAGTTTATTCCTCAAAGGAATCCCTTTCTGTCCAAGACCTTATCAGAGGTACCCCTGGAAGCACAGGATTGGACCTCTGCGCCTCCGCCAGAGCAGTCTTAACATCTCAGATGGGCCCCCAGGCTCTCAGTACTGGAGTCAAGGGCCCACTACCTGCATTGTCTTTAGGTCTGATTCTGGGCAGGAGCAGTGCTCTTATGCAAAGTATTAGAGTAATTCCAGGAGTGATAGATGAAGACTCTGAAGGAGAAATTAGAATCATGGTTGAGGCTGGTAAGGGGGTGACAGTTATTCCCCAGGGTGCTTGTATAGCACAATTGCTTTTGATGCCTCGATTTCAAACTCCTTTTCTTAAACCACATAGAGGTGAGGGTGGATTTCGCTCTACAGGCCCTTTAGCCTGCTGGGTTCCCACCTTAGAACAAAGACCCACGCTAAATTTAAAAATTAATGATCGCAGTTTTCAGGGTCTTTTAGATACTGGTGCTGTGGGAGCCCGTTCTCGGGTTCCTCGTGGCTTTACCCAGCAGGTCCGAATAGAGGATGATCAGGACCACGGGCCTGAGTGCAGGTGTCTGAGATGGTCTGCACTTGGCTGTGCTGGGGGAGGAAGTCTTTTGCTCCACCCCTTGGTGTCTCTATAAAAACCCTGGGCCAGAGACAGTCAGGGCCCGTTGGAAAAGGTTCCAGGCCCTCTCGAGGCTATCATTTATTTTCTATCTGTTTATCTCCGCTATAAATCCTTCTATCTAATATTTCCTGCTGATCGCACTCAAGAAAACTCTGGGAAGCTGTGGAGGTGGTGGGTAAACTCCCCACATGGTGCTGACACTTCAGTTATCTCTATAAAACATTGGCCCAAAGGTTGGCCCCTTAAAAATTCCACCTCTAACCTACAAGGTATCAGCACAGCTCAGATGCCATTACAGAGCAGGCTACTTTTAAATTGGAAGAACTAGGAAGGTCGTGCAGGAACTTTTCAACCCTTTGTGCTACCTGACATTCCAGTGAACTTGTGGGGACGGGATGTGTTAGAAGGTATGGGAGCAGTGCTTACTACACAGCCTGTACAACAGATGCTGAAGAGTCAGGGCTACTGCCCGGGCAGAGGCTTAGGGGAAATGTTGCAAGAAGATCCACTACCTGTGGCAGACAAAAGCTGTGTTACTAGATGTCCTGGGGATACTAGAGAATTAGGCTGTTGCTCAGATTATATTTAAGGGAATCAAAGTTCAGTGTTCAAACTTTTGGTAAGGAGCCAGATCTTGTGGTGACCCCATACACCCAGTCTCAAATAGCATGATTACAAGCTAATGATAAATGATTAGACCATATTGACATGCTCCAGGCAGCGTCGGTTTGATACTCACTACCCCTCCAATGATGTGTGTCAATTTTTTAAATTGTATCCTGTTATATTTCCCAAGATGGTACAGATGACTCCTATTCCTCAGGCCCTTGTGGTATTTACTGATGGCACTTCACATGGTTTTGTTGTGGTAGTTTCTGGTAACAGTGAAGAGAATGAAAGTCCAGGGCACTTCCACCCAGATGGTGGAGGTACAAGCACTGTTGCTTGCTTTACAGATGTTTTCTGATGAGCCTATAAATATCTATATTGATAGCCAATATGTGACACATGCCATTATGCCTTTGGAGACAACAGCCTACATACCATCCATCTCTCCCATTCATGAATATTTATTGCAAGTGCAAGGACTCATATGGTCCTGCTCACATAACCTTTATGTGGGCCATATTAGAGCTCATACCCAATTGCCTGGACCTCTAAGTGAAGGTAATCAGAGAGTTGATGTCATTACTCGTATGGCTGTCACATTAATTTGTTCTGCCTTTGAAAAGGCTACTCAGTTGCATCAACGTTATCATCTTAATGCTGGATCTCTTTGTCATCATACCGGAATAACCCCGGAACAAGCCATCCAGATAGCTAAATCATGTCCTATTTGTGCTGAATTTTTACCTGTTTCTCATTTTGGACTTAATCCCCAAGGACTTTTACCTAATCATGTGTGGCACATGGACATCACACACGTGCCTTTCTTTGGAAAATTACAATATGCCCATGTGTCTATCAATACATATTCCTCTCTAATTTTTGCCTCTGCCTATTCAGGTGAAAAGGTTAAGGATATAAAGAATCATTGTCTTCATGCTTTTGCTTATATGGGAGTGCCAAAATGCATAAAGACTGATAATGGTCCCGCCTACAGCAGTACAGGATTTTCAAAATTCTGCCAAGATTTTTCTATTGTTAATAAGACTGGTATTCCTGATAATCCTCAAGGACAGGCTATAGTAGAATGCTGCCATCGTACCTTAAAAACTTATATTGCTAAAGTAAAAAGGGGGGAGCTAGGGGCTCAGCTCTCCTCTCCACATTCTATTCTTTCCCTTGTTTTATGTATTTTAAATTTTTTATCAGTGGATTCTGCTGGAGTATCTGCTGCAGATAAGCACTGGAGGGCTCCTGTTGCAAATCATCCTCTGGTACGATGGAAGGATCTTTCTACTGGCACTTGGAGGGGATCCGATCTGGTATTGGTGTGGGCCCAGGGTTCTGTTTGTGTCTTTCCGCAGGATAATGAGGTTCCTCTTTGGGTTCCTGAGCACTGTGTGCGCCCTGTGGCTGCTGCCGAATCCCAACATGGCAGAGACCTATTGGACCTTTGTAAAAAACTCTCCCCTTCTGATGCCAATGGGAATTGAGAGCCCAATACTGCCAGCCTTGGCAAGCATTAACCTAAGCCTAGGAATTATAGCCATGTGGTTGGATTCTTCAGAAGGTAATGTATGGTAACTGCTTTTTCAAGTATGTTTGAGAACATGTCACCCAGAAACCTTGGAGATTAAGGATAACCCTGGAGGTCACTGACCTCCATTTGTTAACAGTAGCATGCCAGCTAAGCCTTTTCATTTTTGTAATTCTCTTCAAGCTGGTATAGTACATACCTTTTAAGGAGTGAGTCTGTGCAACATTTATTGGCCTCCTGAAATTCATCTAGCCTCCTTTGAAGATACTTAAAATTTGTGAGTCTGAATGTAGCCATTATGAGACCATTAGTTCTGCTCCTTGTTTGCTATCTGTTTTTTCTTTATGGTTCTTAGTTGTTCTTTTGCAGAGCTGCCAGCTTAAGTCGTGCTGGGATCAAGAAAAATGGGCCTTGGTGGTTCATGTTCCTGGAGTTGTGTCCATGCCAGTGGATCGTGGCAATTAGACACAGATTATGCTCACACGCTCCAGAAGAGAATTTGACATCGCTGCTGCCATTGTTGTTGTTATAGCAGTGATGGCCACTGCTGCTACTGTTTCTGGGATTGCCATTTCATAATTGGTTACTACAGCTAGCACAGTGGAGACCCTGGCAGCAATAGTAGCTACCACAGTTAATTACTATTTCATTCTATTGGGCATAATAAATTTAATTCAACAGTTATATACATTTTTATTGGCTTTGAAAGTTATAAAATTTATAAACTCAAGTTCCACTTGCTTTTGGGATACCATCTTATGAGGACTCCAATTTGCAGTAAGGCTCCTTAAGGAAGGAAATGGCTCAATTGCCTTTAGCCTACTGGCTATGGGTGGTTTGGACTTCTGTTGGTCTTTTCTATGTCAAACGCACAGGTTGCAAGCCCAGCACCACTTTGAGATCTTTGACAGCAGTTAACTCTGCAGCTCACACATGATTGAGCCTGTATGATAATGAGTATTCAGAGACGGGTAATGCCTGGGGGGCACTCATCAACCTAAGACAGAGCACCTGTGTGGCCTGGGCAGGTATCTCCATGATGGGTAAGGTGACCTGCTGATGTCCCATGCAACCTAAGTTAGAAGCTCATTTTTTAGTAAAAAGGGGGGACCTGTAGGGCCCTGGCCCCCCATTTTGGGTAGCTGTTGCCTTGCTTGCTGACCTTGACCAGATGTCCTCCCTATGCTGATTCCCTGCCGGTTTCCTTCTTCCTGAACGCTCACTGGAGGTTCTTTGTTCATGTGTCCTGCAATTGGTGTAAACAGCTTAGATGCAAGAATATAGAACATTCGATAGCGAACTTCTGCCCTCTGGGCTTCTTGCATTGTGCTGTAAGCCTGTATTTAAGGCCTCCTCCCTCCTTCAATAAACGGCATTTGGCATTCTGCTGAGGCGAATGACTCGCTGTCTTTTGTCTCTGTTTTTTGATCCACAGCCCCTCACTCGGACATGGTGAACAGGTGATGGTAGCTAGTGCAACACTTAAATTCATAAATGTATTTCTTTTTGTTTTATGAGTGTTTTGCCAGCATGTGTGCGTCTGTGGCCTCCAGCAGAGGCCAGAAGGAGGGTATTTCATCCCCAGAAGTGAAGCTAGGGATTTTTTTTTTCTTGCCGGTCATATGGATGCTAGGGGGATAAAAGGGTGCGGTGGTGGTGGTGGGGGATAATAGTGTTTTCCTGCTATGAGGGATTAACTGCTTGCATTTTGCTTTTGTAATGAGGGGAGTAAAACAATTTTCTTGCACAGCTGTGGATTCCCTACATAATTGTAATGTACACCTTTGATATCCACCTTTACAAATCCTTCCTTTAGCCCCCTTCTGGCATGCTCTTTGGCTCTAAGGCTGCCATCCCTCTGGTAGCTGTAAAAATAAATTCATTTAATCTAAATTTGAATTGAATTTAAGTCTTTGGTCTTTATCACTGGATTCCAACGCCACAACAAAAGAATGAGGCATTTGGTCTGCCTTTGAGACAGACAGCAGTATAGGATAGGTTGGCTTTGGTTTTACCATTCTCTTGCCTCAACCTCCTGAGTACTGGGATTACAAACCTTTGCTAACATGCTTGCTTATCTTACCTGACTTTGCTGTCCTGGAACTCGCTCTGTAGACTAGAGATTGGTCTGTCTCTGCCTCCCGAGTGCTGGGTTTAAAGTTTGAGCCACCACGTCCAGCCAAATTTTAGTACTTTCTTAATTGTATATATGTATATATTTCTTAAGTGATATATGGTATAATACCACGCCAAACGTCAAGGTCAGCCAGCCTATGTTTAGTCTTCCCTCCACACTCAGCCAGCTCACTAAGCAACGCAAACCTACTGCGCATGTGCACTTTTGCTGCACCAGCCTACGTGAGACTTTGCTAGATGGCCATGGCGGTGACAGAGGGCGGTGCCTACCACGCCCTCGAGGAGCTGCAGTAGAACTGAGCTTAGGACACTGACTTCACTGAGCTGGCCAGGCTGCGCCTCGGCGCAAGGCGCCCTGCAGTTGCTGCGGACGGCTTCCTCCACTCGGTCAGCGCATTCTTTCTGCCTCATACACCTACCATTACCTCTTTCACCGCCAGAAAAAAACCCAACTGGAGATTATGCCGCCTGTCAATTTCCGCCCGAAGGTCAAGCTCCTCCCCCATTTTCTGATTGGCTTCAGGGAGGGGCTTACCACTTCCAGGCACTCTCATTGGCCTAGGAGGATATCGCCCTCGTACTCTTCTCATTGGCCCAGGGGTGTGGCTCATCTTGTTTCGACTCTCTCATTGGTCTACCACAGTCCTGGGGGCGGGGCCACCGCCGATGAAGACAACAAAGGGTCGCGGGTCGCTAGCCAGTGGCAGGTGGCGGTGTTCCAGTCTTCCTTATTCCACATAGCTGGGGTGCGTCGGCCTCCCGCCAGTCCTGCTCCAGATGAAGTGTGAGCACTGCACACGAAAGGTGAGTGCGGCGTCCGGTGGGACTGGGTGCGAAAGCCAAGACTGCAAAATGTGCTGAAAGTCGGGCTCGCCCGGTGTGCACCCTCCTTTCTGTTATGTCAGTCTCTGATAGCCGTCACCTGGCTGCCGAGGACTAGGCGGCGAGCTGGCTGTGGGCCACTGCGGGCGGGTGCACCGCCTGACTAGTCGTGGAAGCTACTGTTCTGCGGCCAGTGCCCGATCGCAGTCCTGGCACCTTGTTGTGGAAGTAAACGATTAATGAAGTGATCAGAAATGCATTGAGCGGCTCTTACATTAAAACAAGGACAACAAACTTGCATACTTATAGTATCAGTGAAAACAAGTGGAGAAGGAAATAAGCGCAAGCTCTCCTGTCCTGCTCCACTAGGTGACTGAAGCGACTGACAACCACCACACTTGCTGCCACATGGTGATAGTGGTGTGGTGCATGTGTAGGAATCTTTTTTTTTTTTCTTTCAGGGATTGTATCATATACAAACACCCCATAAGTTGTTCTTTTTTAATTACCACCATAAGTGGTAAATAAACATCTTTCAGGGAATCACCTGTATTTTTGTGTAATAGCCACATCTAAGTGTTCTTGTACTCATTAAGGTTATATCACTTCTGTTGTTAATTATCAAAAACAATGGAGAGGTGTGTGTGTGTGTGTGTGTACACGCGCGCGCGCGGCTCGTGTTTCTGTGTATCCATGCTTAAATAGGAATGATTTTATTTCTATAGAAATGGTTTCTAGAAGTAAGATTAACTGCTCAGGATATGTTTTGGTTTTTGGTAATGAAGAGAATCACACTAAGTTATTCTTGGCTGAGCTTGGTGGTACATACCTGTGATTGAGAGATTAGCCAGGAAATCATGTACCCAAAGTTAGTGCAATTTATCAAGAACCTACGTCATTTTTTTTTTTTTTAAATCTGGTATAGTAGCACACACCTTAATTCTAGCACTCAGGGGCAGAGGCAGGAGGATCTCTGTGAGTAGTTCAAGGTCAGCTTGCTCTACATAGTGACTTCCAGGGCTATATAGAAAGACCTGATCTCAAAGAAAGCTGAAATAAAATAAAGAAGAATTTTCCCCTTCTAACATTTCCTTGTCATTCCCCCCACTTTTTTTTTTTTTTGAAGGAATGTAGTAAAAAATCAAAAACTGATGACCAGGAGAATGTGTCCACTGATGTATCAAGTCCAGCCCAGGAGAATGAAGAGGCAAGTAAACATTCCAGTTGTGTCAGCCTAATGTGAGTGGAGTAGCTGCTGCTGTGTTTTCTCCCGCTAGACATTCATATCACCTTGCACTTCACTGCTCTAAGAAAGATTGAAGTAAAAAGTGGTAAGGGCCATGTATAGGACAGTCTTGAGTCATCTCAAACATACCAGGCTAGGTACTGAGAAATAGCATCATCCTGGTGCACTGTTGAAAGCTGTATTCTATAAAATGTAAGGAACTTAGATTATGTAACATGTGAAAAGATATAACTCAAGTTTCATGATTCTTTAAGCTTGGTGTTTAAATGGCTGTTTCTTTAGTTCAGTTCTTGTTTTAGCTAATAATGATGCTTATTTGTAATTATTGTATCACACTCTGAGCTGGGTTTTAGACCTACTTCATGCTTTTGAGGGGCATTTGCCTCTGCATGTGTCTTGCTATGTTCTGGATTCACAGAGAAAGTTACAGTCACTGTTCTCTTAGAAAATATTAGGACTAGTCAGGCATCATGGCATACCTCTGGAGTCTCAGTTTGAGTCCAGTCTAAGCTATACATGAAACCTTATCTCAAAAACAATAACTAAGGATTTAAATCAACTGATAGAGTGCTTGGCTAGCTATCCTGAGGCCCTAAGGTCAATCACAAACAAATTGATTTTAGAGCTAGTTAGGTAGTTCAGCTAGTAAAGACACTTGCCACCAAGCCTCAGGATGCCAGCTTGATTCCCAAGACCTATATGTGACATATGAACACATAGGTGACAGGAGAGAACAAGCTTTCACAAGTTGCCTTTCTACCTCTATACCAACACATATGCCATGACTCGACCCCCCTTCCCCTATCCCACTAATAAGCAAGCAAGCAGTCAGTGTAAAAAACAAAAACAAAACAAAAAACAAAACAAAACAAAAAACCCAGCTTTTTTTTTTATATAAGTAGAGAATTAATAACATGGGAGAAATAGGTTACTAGGATTTTCCTCTTAGATTTAGTAGTTCTGCTGTACTGATGGGCATAGTTCTGGCTCTCCTGTGTGCATTATTGTGCTTTGGAGACTAAGCCTTTGGGGAAGAGCAGTGCACCAAGGGTAGTGGCCTCTGGAGTCATGTGCCAGTTTGGGCCAGTGCTTTAGACAGCAGGACTGCTCCCTAATGTCCACACTATTGTATGACTTTGGAAACAAATCTAATCCCATTGGAATGCTAGTACATACTTCAGAAGTAGAGGCAGAGTGTCATGAGTTTGAGGCCTGCCTAGACTACACAGCAAAATGAAATAAACCCACAATACTTTGTGGCCCTATTTCTTATCAGTGTTGTGGGGAGTTGGGTTTCTTCTCTCCCAGGGTTCTGGTAAGGATGAGATAAGTATGAACACAGTCTAACCAGCACCTTGGTAGTTTAGTATGGACATACTTTTTTTTTTTTTTTTTTTGGTTTTTCGAAACAGGGTTTCTCTGTGTAGTTTTGGTGCTTGTCCTGGAGCTCACTCTGTAAACCAGCTTGCCTCGAACTCACAGAGATCTGCCTGCCTCTGCATCCCAAGCGCTGGGATTAAAGGTGTGCGCCACCACCACCTGGCTGGACATACTTTTTAAAAGGCTGAGGGGTGTTTGGGAGGAGTTGGTAGACTAGGCCCTAAAGGTTAGAATTCAAAATAGGATGGAACATCTGATGGATGTCTGCACCATATAAATGCCTGGTGTTCATTGATGTCAGAGGAGGATGTTTGAATCCCCTGGAACTGGAATTACAAATAGTTATTAATTACAAATAGTTGTTGCTGGCAACTGAACCTGGGTCTTCTAAAGAGCAGCTAGTGCTCTTAGCTGCTGAGCCATCCCCAGCTTCTATTTATTTATCTTTCTTTTTGAGACAGGGTCACACTATGTATCCCTATGGCTTGGAACCATGCTGGCCGTAAGCTCAATGGTTCTTTCTCTGTCTCAGGAGTCCTGAGATTAAAGGCATGTGCCACATCACCTGGCTTATTTTATTTTTTACTAATACAATTTGAACCTAGAGCCTTGCACTTGCTAGGAGTGGTGTGTCAGTCACCTACACCTCTAGCACCTAAGCACCTTCTAGGCTCTTAGAGGGGCTGGGGAGCATAAGGAAAATAAAATGCCAACCTCTGTGAGGCCATTAGGAAGGGACAAGCAAGTTGACACTGTGTTAGTTGGCACTGAAAATAAATCTCAGGATGCCAGCTCTGTTAGGGCCAATAGGTGAGTGAGAGCTCATTTGGAATATTCCCTGTGAAAGAACTCAAGAACAAAGCCAGTGTGGCTGAATGTGAGCCCCTGGACCGGGCCAGGCGGGGCAGGCAAAAGCTGTGCTGTGGGCCCTGTTCCAGAGAATGCTGTCAGGGGCTTTGAGCAGTGGAAATGTGACTTGTGCTTTAGTAGATTTCTCTGGGACCAAAAAGAGCCAGAGTGGGGCACAGGGGTGAATACAAAATGGGGTTAAAGGGACCAAGGTCATAGAGTTCCAGCATCCAGGTGATCAGTCTCCCTTTATTGAGGTAAGGTGGGGCAGAAATGAGCACCAGCAGTTCAGAGCTGGGAGCTGAGGTCTGTGTTGCATACAGGAGGAAACCTCAAGCAAGTCCTGACTGTATGGAAGGAAAGTCTGCTCAGCAGTGTGGAGCTGGAAGAGCTAGGCAGGGAAACCTGAGGCTTGTTCACAGGCACTGGACAGGAAGGGTGGAAGAGGAGGATGTGGAGATAGCCTTTAGGCCAGTTTGCAGCAGGCAGGAGTATCATCTTTCCACACGATAACACTGGGGCTAGTTTACCCTTGCTTGTCATCTGCATGATCCTAAGTGCCATCAAGAGCCTGTGCCGTGACATGTGCCTCCACTGCCGTGAACTGTTCAGAACAGAGACCATTGCCTAATAGCTCCTCCTGACACTTCAGGCCTGACTTTGTCTCCATGTTAAGTGTAGATTCTTTTTTATTGTGCTTATGCAGTTACCTTCCCTAAAGAAATGATGCTACCAAAACAAAACAAAAAAAAAACAAACAAACAGGTGGATCTCTGAGTTCGAGGCCAGCCTGGTCTACAGATAAGAGTTCTAGGACAGCTACACAGAGAAACCCTGTCTCAAAAAACTGAAGAAGAAAAAAAAGGAAAAGAAACAGTGTTAACACCATTTTCTTTCCTAGAAGGGAGAATTCCATAAGTTGGCAGATGCGAAGATATTTCTGAGTGACTGCCTGGCCTGTGACAGCTGTGTGACCGTGGAGGAAGGAGTCCAGCTTTCCCAGCAGAGTGCCAAGGACTTCTTCCATGTCTTGAATCTTAATAAGGTATGGTGTCTGCTGGAACTGATGGTGCAGGCCTGTAATTCCAACTACTGGGAAACTGAGGCAGGAGAATTGCAAGTTCAAGACCACCCTGGGCAACTTAACAAGACCTTGTCTATGAATGAGTGAATGAATGAATGAATGAATGAATGAATAGCTCATTGATAGAACACTTGTACTAGGTTCAATCCTCAAAATAGATAGATAGATAGATAGATAGATAGATAGATAGATAGATAGATAGATAGATAGGTATGATAAAGTCCTAGTTAGGGTTACTATCTATTACTGTGATAAAACACTATGACCAAAACCAAGTTTGGGAGGAAAGGGTTTATTTGGCTTATACTTCCACATCTTGATGCAGATGAGTTCTTTTTTTTTTTTTAATTATTATGTATACAGAGGAGGGTGCCAGATCTCATTATAGATGGTTGTGAGCCACCATGTGGTTGCTGGGAATTGAATTCAGGACCTCTGGAAGAGCAGCCAGTGCTCTTAACCTCTGAGCCATCTCTCCAGCCCATACTTCCACATCTTATTGCATCATTGAAGGGAAAGTCAGGTTAGGAGCTCAAACAGGGCAGGAACCTGAGGCAGGAGCTGATGCTCCTGGAGGAGTGCTGCTTACTAGCTTGCTCATCATGGCTTGCTCAGCCTGCTTTCTTATAGAACCCAGGACCCCCAGCCTGGGAAGGCACCACTCAAAGTAGGCCCTTTCCCATCCATCACTAATTAAGAAAATGCCCTGCAGCTGGCTTTTTTTTCCCCCTTAAACAGTGTTCTGCTTGCATGCATGCCTGCAAGCCAGAAGAGGGCACCAGATCTCATTATAGATGGTTGTGAGCCACCATGCGGTTGCTGGGAATTGAACTTAGGCCAGTGCTCTTAACCTTTGAGCCATCGCTCCAGCCCTGCTGCAGCTGTATCTTATGGAGACATTTTCTCAATTGAGTTTCCCTCCTTTCAGATAACTCTAGCTTATATCAAGTTCACATAAAACTAGCCAGCATAGATAGATGGTAGATAGATGATAGATAGATAGATAGATAGATAGATAGATAGATAGATAGATAGATAGATGATAGGTAGATAGATAGATGATAGATGATAGATAGATGATTAGATAAAGAAAAATATCTAGGGTACTTGCCAGCCAGCCATGACCTGAGGATCTGGCCCCATCAGTGTGTGTCAATATTCCTTGATTCTTTGTATCTGCAACTTGTTCTTGATGTGATGGGGTTCACTGATGCTTTGCAAAACATATTACATTCTATTGCTACATTCCACAATGTTGATTGTTGTAGGTGTGTTGGAATTCTATGGTTAATGTGTCAGTTTTGTGTATGGCATTTTATAAACTTAGCATATGACTGATTTGCCAAAGTATTTTAGTTTTATAAGTTTATTAGATGAAAAAAATTCAATTTTGTAATCATTAACTTTTTGTGTTGTGTGACAGGGTCTAATATATATCTGAGGCTGGTCTCAAATTTTCTATTCCCCTGTCTCAGCCTCTACAGTGCTAGGAGTATAGGCATGTGCTGCCATGACAGAAGTTTTGTACATCTTGTTTTTGGATAAACTGGTACAAACTAACAATGGTGATAAGTAGTACTGGTTAAAACCTTCCTTTGGACATTAGTAGAAATGCTTTTAAGTTTACTTCTAAATTGGATTTTGTTAGTAATTTATTGTCAGTATCCCTGTCATCCTGCATTTCACCTGCAGATAATGAGCCCCATCTGGAGCCTCATAGATAACACTGGAGGCCTAGGTGTACAGATGTGCTGCTGATCCTCCTGCCTCCTATCTCCTGAGTGATAAGTTTATAAGTCAACTACTTACCACCACACCAAGATCCTACTCATCTTTTTTGTTTGTTTTTCGAGACAGGGTTTTTCTTTTCTGTGATAGTCCTGGCTGCCCTAGAACTTGCTCTATAGCCTACATCTTTTTCTTTTCTTTCTTTTTTTTTAAATCTGTTTTAAAACTTTTATGTTTTGGTGGGCTATAGTGGTGCATGCCTTTGGAGGCAGAGGCAGGTGAATCTCTGAGTTCGAGGCCAGCCTAGTCTACAGAGTGAATTCCAGGACAGCCAGGGCCATATGAAGAAGAGAAACCCTGTCTCAAAACAAAGAAACAAACAAACAAAAATTTCATTTACTATGAATTTTCCATTAAGGTGTCTTACTTTGTTCCTGATACAATTAATACACATGTGACATTATTGTTTTTTCTTCTAGAAATGTGACACCTCAAAGCACAGAGTGCTGGTTGTGTCTGTGTGTCCTCAGTCTCTGCCTTATTTTGCTGCTAAATTCAACCTCAGTGTCACTGATGCATCCAGAAGACTCTGTGGCTTCCTCAAAAGTCTTGGTGAGTCAATCCCTTTTTTAGTTTTTGAGACAGATTTTTTTCTGTGTAGCCCTGGCTGTCTTGGAACTCAATTTGTAAACCAGGCTGGCCTCAAACTCACAGAGATCTGTCTACCTCTGCCTCCCAAGTACTGGGCTTAAAGGTGTGTGCTACCACTGCCTGGCCAGTTACTTTTATAATACTGTAGGAGTATACTTTCAGTTCATGAAAGGTCGTTTTTTTATTTTTCAAGTTCAGTTTTCAAGGGCTTAGGATAGAAAAACTTGGGAGAAACTCCTGGAATGTCAAAGGACCCCATCCCTTGTGTCAGGAATCCAGCTTCCTACCAGTGGTAGGTGGGGGTGTTACATACCCTGTGTTGTGTGCAGATAGATGTTTTGTTACAATGAGATTGACTGGTCTGTAGTAAGAGGTGACCCCCTGCTGACAGTAGACAGTGACTACTAGGAGGCTCTATACTTGCCTCTAGCTCACAGAATGATTATTTGATACTTATTTCTGCAATGACTAATGTCCATTTTCCTAAGAACCTTTTCTAGCTAGGTAAGCTGTAGCCCTCACCTACATCTCTAGCCCCAGGCATGTGTTTTTTATGTGAGGAATGAAAGGTAATTTGCTCCAGTGGTCACATAGCTTTAATCCCAGCACTGGGAAGCAGAGGCAGGTGGAGCTCTGAGTTCAAGACCAGCTTGGTGTACATGGTAAGCACTAGGCCATCCACAGATATACAGTGAGACCCTATCTGGAAAAAAAAGAGCTAGGCGTGGCAGCCAACTCCTATAACTTCAGCATTGGAAGAATGGAGACAGGTCATTTTCAGGTGCTCCCTAGCTAGCCAGTCTAGCCAAAATAGCACACTTCAGATTCTGTGAGAAAACTATCTCAACAAGTAAGGTTCAGCAAAATGGTTCGGCAAGTAAGGGCTCTCTCCAATACAGGAGAGTGCTGGTGTAAATTCACTGTCCCTCAACACCACACATAAAAGTGAGAGTCAGGAAGATACTGTAGCACATCTATAAGTAGCACTCAGGAAGCAGAGGCAGGAGGATCATCCATGAGTTCAAGGACAGCCTGGTGACCATAGTGAGTTCCAGGCTGGCTAGGACTATATAACAAGACTTTATTTCAAACAATAAACAAGTAAAATGCCCAGTCTGAACCAGGCTACTGTTGTAAGAAAAGTATCAAGACTAACTGTGGTCAGGTGGTAAGGAGAGGCTGGTGTCATCAAATCTGTGATCTGTGTTTATATCTGAAACAGTTGAGGAAGAACTGGGGTGCTCAAAAGCTGGGGATGGCTTTGTCTACCTATAATGCTCACATTCCTGGGCTCGCATCCACCTGGGCTACACAGAAAGACCTTGTCAAAAATAACAACAAGGTTGGGGATTTAGCTCAGTAGTAGAGCGCTTGCCTAGCAAGCACAAAGCCCTGGGATAGATCCTCAGCTCCAAAAAAAGAAAAAACAAAAAGCCAAGTGTTGTGGTCCGTGCTTTTCATCATGGCACTTGGGAATCAGATAGATCATCACAAGTTCAAGGCTAGCCTAGTCTACATGACCTAATAAGCTCTGGACCAGTAAGAGCTGCATAGTAAGACCTTGTGTAGCAGGATTCTTAAAAGTTCTTATTAATAAAATCAAACCCGAGGCGAGTTATTGGGGTCCATGCTGGTAGATCAGAGAGACAGAACAAGCCACAGCTATCTCACCTCGCTGGATCCTTAGCTGGTCTTGTCTCCTCAGACTGGAGGCCTCTGAGTCCTCATCCGGAATGGGTCTCAGCTGAATTACTGCTCAAACGCCTGAATGCTTAACCAGGCCAAAATGCTTAACCAGCCAAATGCCGCTAGTTTCTGGTCCTCACGCTTTATATATCTTTCTGCTATCTACCACCACTCCCTGGGATTAAAGGCTGGCTTTCTGGGATTAAAGGCGTGTGTCACCATGCTTGGCTATTTCCAGTGTGGCCTTGAACTCACAGAGATCCAGAGGGATTTCTATCTCTGGAATGCCAGGATTAAAGGTGTGTGCTATCACCGCCTACCTAGTGGCTTTTCTGTTCTCTGACCCCAGATAAGTTTATTAAGGTACACAATATTTTGGGGAACACAATACCACCACAACCTTGTCTTAATATAAAATGAAAATCAGATGTGATCTGGATCCATACTTGGTCTGGGAGAAACATCCATGTCTCTCTTTCCTGCAGGGGTGCACTATGTATTTGACACCACAATCGCTGCAGATTTCAGCATCTTGGAGAGTCAGAAGGAATTTGTACGCCGGTATCACCAGCATAGTGAGGAGCAGCGTGAACTGCCCATGTTGACCTCTGCCTGTCCTGGTAAGCACAAGCCTGCTGGTACCATTTCACCAGAACTGTAAAAAAAATGTGGCCCTAGATTTGGTTGGAAGTGGGCAGGCCTATCTCACTCAACCTTGTAGAGCAGGTCACCTTATGAATAGGGACAATGTAGAGGAGGTGTCTTGGCTCATCCTGGGATGACAGTCTCAGTCAGAGGGCAGGAGGAAGCAGAGGGAACTGACTTCATGTGTTCTTTCTCTCCATCTTTCTGTTTCTCCTTCTCTCTCTAGGTTGGGTCAGATATGCTGAGCGTGTGCTGGGCCGCCCAGTCATCCCACATCTCTGCACTGCTAAGTCCCCCCAGCAGGTCATGGGCTCCTTGGTGAAGGATTACTTTGCTAGACAGCAGGTAAGCCAGCCTCTCCAGAGAACAGCAGCAGAGGGTGGACTCAAGGTGAGTAAGGCCTGAGGGGAATACTGGACCTCATCTATGGAGACACTGCCTGATTGCTTCTGTTCTGGGTACCTCAGGAAGCTAAGCCTCACCTCTATCCTGGCTTTTTGCTCCAAGCCACAGATGCCCACCCCGCTCCCAGCCTGCCTTTTTTTTTTTAAAGATTTATTTAGGGCTGGAGAGATGGCTCAGCAGTTAAGAGCACTCACTGCTCTTCCAGATGGTCCTGAGTTCAATTCCCAGCAACCACATGGTGGCTCACAACCATCTGTAACGAGATCTGGTGCCCTCTTCTGGCCTGCAGTCATACATGCTGTATACATAATAAATAAATAAATAAATAAATAAATAAATAAATAAATAAATAAATAAATAAATAAATAAATAAATTTTAAAAAAGGATTTGTATACAGTGTTCTGCTTAAATGCCAGAAGAGGGCACTAAATCGAATTATAGGTGGTTGTATGCTGGGACTTGAACTCAGGACCTCTGGAAGAGCAGCCAGTGTTCTTAACCTCTGAGCCATCTCTCCAGCCCTGCCCCCTCCTCCCCACTTGCCCTCTTATACCTGCTCTGAGAGTTCTGGTGTTTCTTAGTCTTCTCAGGGCTTCCAGCCCTGTGCTGTCTGAGTGGAGCCCAAAGTTACAGATCTGATTGCAGCTGCTAGTAGGAACAGCTGGGCCTAGAGTTCTGGGCTGTAGCAACCTCTTGGCTTGACCCCTAGAGGACTAGATCAAGGTATGTTTCCTCTTGGACTCTGCCCCTGCCCTGAGTATGGCTTTTCTACTCTGGCCTAAATGTAAAAGTCACTGGGCAACTGGCTCTTGGTTTGCCTCAGGAGAGGAATGGCCTAGATGTTGTTACTTGAACAGCTTCAGAAAGTCTTCCAGTAAAACAAGTGGAACACAGCTTACCTGTTCTTACCTGTGCAGAGCTCATGAGGCAGCACCATACATGGGGTAGGGTGGGAGCAGCATTTGGGACTCCCCCATGCTCTAGTTGCCATCATTGCTTCCCTGAAGCTCTAAGCTGTGTGCTGTCCTCTGCAGAATCTGTCTCCAGAGAAAATTTTCCATGTTGTCGTGGCTCCTTGCTATGATAAGAAGCTGGAGGCTCTTCGAGAGGGACTTTCCACTACTTTGAATGGTGCCAGGGGTACTGACTGTGTGCTGACTTCAGGTGAGAGGTGGACTCAGAAAGTGAGCATGTCTCTGACAGGCCAGTCTGGCTAATGGCACTGATAGCTAAGGATTTTGGGGGGCTCAGTGGCCTAAAGTGAACAGGAAGATTCTTCATCTTGCCTCCTCTCAGTCTTCCTCCAGATGAGTCAGGACTGTGGAGAACGATATTGGCAACATGGCTCTTAGGTGATGTGTTTTTATATCACAGCCCATCAGCATTCTTTCCTGTAGAGGGCAAAATGTGCTTGTGCACTGGAGAAGCCAGGAAGGTTAAACATGTAAGCATCCTTCAGAGTAAAGAAATGCTTAACCTGTCCCCCTCCCGGAATTCTGGTAGTGGGTGTAGTTTACAACCTGGTGATCCTTTACTATCTGTTGAGCCAGGCTTTGCCTGTAAGCTCCAGAATTTAGGTTTTACTTATTCTAGACCCTTTCCCCATCAATCTTGAGCTTGTTTCTAGGCCATAAAACCCATTCTTTTTTTTTTTTTTTTTTTTTTTTCTTTTCAAAAATCACAGGCAATTTATTTTGTTCTATTCATTCACAGTTAATACAGAAAATACTTGGAAACATTTCCATATAATGTTTGACACAGAA